CAATTCCTATGTTTGTTTATTTGATGATGTCTCATGTGTTTTATAGCCTTTCTTCACTCTTCTTCATTCTTTTTTCTTTTAGTTCCTCTGACTAGATAATTTCAAATGACCTATCTTTAAGTTCATAGACTTTTTTTCTGCTTGATCAAGTCTGTTGTTACGACTCATTATGGAATTTTTCAGTTTAGTCTTTTTGTTCCTCAGCTTCAGAATTTTTGTTTGGTTCTTTTTTATGGTTTCTTTATCTTGGTTGAAGTTCTCTTTTTGTTTTCCTGATTTTGTTTTGTTATCTGTGCGTATTCTCTCATAGCTCACAAGTTTCTTTAGAATTATTACTTTGAATTATTTGTGGGACAGTCTGTAGATCTCCATTGTTTTAGGACCAATTACTGGTGCTTTATTTTTTTCCTTTGGTAGTATTATGTGTTCCTGCTTTTATCATGTGTTCCTGCTTATTTTTGATGCTCGTGGCCTTGTGATGGTGTCCGTGCATTTGAAAAAGTAGCCACCTCTTTTAGTCTTTAGACTGGCTTTGGCAGGAACATTCCTTAACTAATCAGCCTGCTCAAAGATTTTGGGTGTGCTAGCAGACTGGGACCCTGGTTAGGCTTACTATGGGAAGAAGAGCATGGTACTTATTTCTATGATGAGGTGACCCTCGTGTCTGGGTTCATGGAGAATCTCTCAGGTGGGCCTGGTACCTAGGTATGTGGGTATAGACCTAGAATATGTGGATACTGGAGTGGACCTGAAGTTTGGGGTCCATGTGGTCGACCTGTTCTGGGACCAGCCTGGCATTGGGGTGCTTGCCCAGGTTTTGCACTTGGTTTCTCCATCATTTCTAAGTTCTCTAGTGGAATTATCTGGGTCATAGCTTATCTCCTTGCTCTCTTAGTTTCTATGCATATTCTCACTATGAGATGGAAGAATAATTTGAGAACTATAGAAGGCTTTAGTATGTCAAAGAAAGGTATTTTGACATAGTCTGGCATGGAGTGCCAGAAAATATAAAACAGCCTCATTTCCTTTGTTTAATTACTGGTTATTCATCTCATTCTAAATAGGTCTTATAAGATAAACTACCTGAATATGATAATTATCTTCAAACTTGGTCAGTGTGACAACACTTGACTTAAATTTAAGCAAAGAAACAGCTTTTCCTGGTATGCTACTAATCACCATTTTCTAAATTTCTGCTATATTTAATTTTTAAAAACAGCTTATTAAGGCAGGTCATTATACAGTAAGCAAACTTTATAAATTTTGTGTGTGCAATTTAGTAAGTTTTGACAAATGTATATACTGGCAAACCTATCACTATAATGAAGATCATAAACATATTCATCATTGCTAAAAGCTTCCTTGTGTCACTTTGCAATCCCTCTGTATTAGTTCATTCTCATACTGCTCTAAAGAACTGCTCAAGACTGGATAATTAATAAAGAAAGGAGGTTTAATTGATTCACAGTTCTGCAGGGCTGGGGAGGCCTCAAAAGCCTTACAGTCATGGTGGAAGGAAAAGCAAACAGGTCCTTCTTCACATAGTGGCAAGAAGGAGAACTGCTGAGCAAAGAGAGAGAAGCCCCTTGTGAAACCATCAGATCTCACAGTAACTATCACAAGAACAGCATGAAGGTAACCACCCCCATGATTCAGTTGCCTCCCAGTGGGTTCCTTCCACAACAAGTGGGGATTATAGGAACTACAATTTAAAATGAGATTTGGGTGGAAGACACAGACAAACCACATTATCCTCTCTCTCACTGATATACTTTGTCACTATGTATTAACTTGCATTTTCTAGAATGGAATCATACAGTACATATGCTTTTTAAAAACTATGTCTTCTATCATTTAGCATAATTATATTGAGATTTATCCATGTTGCTTTATCAGTAGTCTGTTTCCTCATATTGCTAAATAGTATTCACTATATGGATATACTATAATTGGTTTATCCACTCATCTCTTGATAAGTATTTGGGTTGCTTCCAAGTTTTATCTATTTTAAATAAAGCCAATATGCACATTCATGTAAAAGTCTTTGTATGGACATATGTTCTCATTTATCTTGGATAAATACCTGGGTATAGAATGACTGAAATATATATTAAGTGTATGTTTAACTATTTTGTGAAACTGCCAAATTGTTTCCAAAGTGATTGTGCAATTTTATCTTCCCATGTGCAGTGCACAAGAATCAAAGTTGCTCCATATACTTGCTAACATTTGGTATAGTCACAACGAGAGAACAAAAGTAAGCTGTGTTAGTGCCCCTCCTCCTTGAGCCCAGTTCAGAATATACCACATCCGTTTTGTAAGGTAAGACAAGCTGAGCAACAGTTCATTGTGGCTTAATGGGCAAGACATAACCCAGCTCATAACTAAAGGTGCAGTTACACGTGATAACTTGGAATTCTGTGATAATGCCTTCCGTCTCTACCAGGCCTCAGTAAAATACCAGCAACCATTTTTGAAGGTATATAATTCTCTTCTTCAGATAAGACCCTGCTTCAAAAACCGAGGTCTTTCCATAAACTCTACAATAAACTTGTATTATTATACCATTGAAACCATCAGATCTGCTGAATTCTCTGACCGAAGGGGTAAAGCTGCTTGCATCACAGCCTAGACCTGCAGAAGAGCACATTTCTGTTGCAGGTCCCACTTAAAACTGGTAGGCATTTTATCACCAGTTTATAGGCCAGACAAGTATCCCTGGAGATACATGCTACCCTCCAAACCTAAAGAGGAGGGTCAGACATTGTGCTTCCTTCTTTATAACAGGTCATGCAAAATGCACCAATTTGTGTTTTGCTTTGGAGATATCCAGGCACATCCTTGACCATTGTGTACCACTTAGATACTTTATTCAAATGACAAATTGATAAATCTTGAAAGGGTTTCTCTCTTGCTTTCCAGAGGATGTAGTTCTTACCAAGGCCTTCAGTGTGCCACATCTTGCCTCATTAGGTCGTTGATGGGTATAATGGATCAACATGATGTTTTTCACATGTTTATGTGGCCCACCTTATCTTCTGATTAGACTATGACAGTGAGTGAGAGTTACTATAGTTTGTAAATGTATTTTATTGTTCACCTCATGTGAATGAAGTTTTGCTAAGAGCTGTTTTTTATATTCTTTCATGAATTAGGGAATAAAAACCCACGTTCATGTAATCAGTGGCTGCACACAATTTACCCATTAATGTGATGTAGATACTATCTCCAGCACAGCAGCCACAATTATGGTCTCTACGTGGCTAAGTTTGCAGTAGTATGCAGTCATTTTTAAGATTCAGTCTTGCCAGGATGCAATGAGGCATTCCGTAATCTACCATGGCAACGCAGGCATTTCAGCTTTACTCAGCATAGGTCATCATCTGCTCTAATCTAAGCAGCATCATCTGTTGCTAATCCATTTTAGCACTGAGTTTTCTCGATGCCCTGGGAGAGTTGGAAAAGTGCTGAATCTTTTGTACCAAAATCAGTTATGTTTATCTAGTATCATATTCCAGTTTTCTTGATCAGAAACTTTGAAAATCCAGCCCTACAGAAACTTCCTTGGACAGCACATGCTGACCAATTCTTACCATTCCGTATGGTAATCTCTTTGCTGTGTCCTAGATACTCCCAACCATGTTAAAATGGGATAATACTAATCATACACTTACGGAAAGTTTCTGATGGCAGCTGCTCTAGCCTCCTTTGGAGGAGGATTGTGCAGTACTTGACCAAAGTGGGCATGTGGGCGTGGACTAGCTCCAAAAGGTGAGTTGCACTGACTGTGAAGGCCCTGGGGGTTTAGAGAAGTCTGCAAGGCCACAGTTTTCAGGGGCATCTACCCAGATATGCGTATCCTATGTGTAACATTTCTAGGTGTCTCCCAACCAGGGAATTACCCTTAACGTAACAGACCTGCCTTGGCTGATAGTTGGTTCATCTTTGAAGGTCAGCTGCCCTAACTATCAGATGTTCAGTTTGTTTCTCTGCTGTGCCCACTCTTTCACTGCAAGAAAAAATGAGAAAAAGCATCCTCCTGCTCTCATATGTAGACTTTAACTATTTGTTAGCTACCTTTATTTTCTCATTATCCCTTTCGTTATACATTAAATACATAAGTGTACATATGTGTGTATAGATAGATGTGAAAGAAAATAAGACTTCAAAAATACATATATGCACATATATATGTACACACACACCTCACACAAGAACATATATATGTGTGTTTGTCTATAAGTATACACACACATACATGAAACTAACAAGTAATAGAAATTCCAATTGGGGTAGACACATAACTACAATTAACATTGGATATTGGAATATAAAAGTAATATTAGGGTAATTAAAATTTCCATGAAATAAAGACTGAACTACGTTCAAAGATTAAAAGGACTTATTAATTCCAGGATGGATTCATGATAAAAGAATCCGCTTATGCACATTTTAATAAAACTTATTTGAACTCCAGGAAAAGAAACAAGTCTCAAAACATTCTAAGTAGAAAAACCAAGTAACTCACAAAGAGAAAAGAAACAAATGGTAATATTACAGTTGCAATGTCACTTTCTCCTAGCTTGCAGACTAATAACAGAATATCTTGGCTTCATATAGGACTCCTGGTTTGCAGTTCTTTTAATTCAGAGAATAAAAGGAAGATACTGTCTTGGAATTCAGGCATACATTTAATAGATCTGAGAAAAATCTTGAGAATAATCTCCAAACCACTGAGCAAAAACAGAGACAAAGATGGGGAAAATGTACAGGGGAAGCAGTGGTGAATAATACAATTTGCAGTATAATTAAATCTAAATGGGTAATAGAATATCTGGGAATATATAATATAAATGCAAAATAAAGACAAGTATACCTTTAGATATGAAATTACTAAACTATTTTAGCAAAATCTAAAAGTTTTCAGTGGCGATTTGAGGGAGATGGCTATAATAAAAAGGTAAAGTAAAAACATTTAAAATTCTCATGGGAAGAAGCAGCAGTAAAAAAGGTAAGGGAAATTTAAAAAATTCTGTGGTTCTTATTGGGTTTGGGCAATAACTACTCTATGGGTTATTTTCATTTTCATATAAACAACTGATTGTGAGAAAAAAATGCTAAGTATTAATGATTTAGAAAAGTGTGTAATGAGGCCGGGCGCGGTGGCTCAAGCCTGTAATCCCAGCACTTTGGGAGGCCGAGGCGGTGGATCACGAGGTCAAGAGATCGAGACCATCCTGGTCAATATGGTGAAACCCCGTCTCTACTAAAAATACAAAAAATTAGCTGGGCATGGTGGTGCGTGCCTGTAATCCCAGCTACTCAGGAGGCTGAGGCAGGAGAATTGCCTGAATCCAGGAGGCGGAGGAGGTTGCGGTGAGCCGAGATCACGCCATTGCACTCCAGCCTGGGTAACATGAGTGAAACTCCGTCTCAAAAAAAAAAATGGAAAAAAAAAAAAAGTATGTAATGAATAGCACATTGATAAAACTAGAAGAATATGGAGAAAAAGAATATAAAGAATATAAAGTTGAAAAGATTGTCAAGTCATTATACTAAATATACTAGACTGAATATATGTTCTCTTTTTTGAAGATAGGCTGCCAGACTGGCTTAAGATAAGAAAACCCAGTTATACATCTTTAAAAAAAAAGACTTAAACCAAATGATACAGATTAAAAATAAATGCATGGGCAAAGAGATTAATTTAACTAAAAATAAAGCAATTTTCGCAATAGCCAAGATGAAGAATCAACCTAATTGTCCAATGATGGATGAATGGTCAAGGAAGTGTTTTTTATAGATCTATATATCTATAGCCATATAAAAATACACATGCACACACACATATACCTTAAATATGTATCACATATTGAATATTATTCAGCTTTAAAAAAGAAGGAAATCATGTCATTTGTGACAATATGGATAGACTTGGAGGATACTATGCTAAGTGAAATAAGCCAGACACAGGAAGACAAATACTCATTAATTTTCCTTATATGTGAAATACATAAAAGTCAAACTCATAGAAGCAGAGAGTGGAATGGAGGTTGACAGGGGCTTTTGAAGGAGGGAAATAAGGAGATGGTGGTCAAATGGTAAAAAGTTTTGGTTGTACAGAGTAAGTTCTGGAAGTCTAATATACAGCGTAGAAGTTACAGGTAATAATCTATTGTGTACTTGAAATTTGCTAAGAGAGTAGAACTAAAATTTCCTACTGCAAAAAAGGTAAGAATGTGAGGTGATAGAAATGTTAATTAGCTTGATTATGGCAATCACTTATATATATAGCCACATGGCATACTTTAAATATAGAGTTTTTATTTGTCTATAATACCTTGAGGAAGCTGTTAAAAAGTAGTGTTGTCAATATTATAATAGCAATACCTAAGACTAAATGCATTACGTTATGTTATAAAGTCATAAACCCATATTATAAAACATATATAAATGTAAAACTAAGAATTATTAGAAACGGAAGATGTTGATACTAGTAGAAGATCTCATTATACATTTCATAGTTGACCAGATCTAGAATATAGTAAAGACATAGAAATTGGATTTTTTGTAATTATTCCAAGGATACTACATAACAATATGGATCATTTGAAAACTGTTTCTCATAATTAAATTTATCTTATTCTTGGCCACACATCAGGCCAGGAGAAAACCCAATATATCATTTTTTCTTACTTATCTTTTACTTCAGAGTTATTTGGAGAGAAATAATATGCCCATTCATTCTTGGGAGGAAGTCCTCCAGTCTTGTCTGAGTCTTTGCCTTAATTTTACAGTTGGTACAATCAGCAGCAATAACCAGGTAGAACATGCTATGGACCTCGGGTGAGACTCTGAGGTGGGCTGGCTTCAGTGTAACTCAGCATATGAAGAGAAATTCCCTGCAAAGTTTGCCAGGACCTGGGGATATAAGGTCAGAAGAAAGAAGGGGACACCTTTTTTTCTCTCCTTCATGTACCCCCAGGTATTTGCTGGAAAGAGAAATAAAGGGTTGCCTTTTTTCCTCTTTCCAGATGGATAACCAATCATCTTCAGCCTGCACTCCTCTTGAATACATCCTGAATCACTGGAACTTTTCTGACCTTCAAACATACCCAATCTCTTGGGGAAGGACAACTTTTCTTTGTCCTGCTTTACAGGATACCAGGACTCCAGGGCCAATGGGGCTCCATGGATTAGCGGAAGGGAACCCAGAAGCCTGACATGAAAAGTTTTTCCTAGTCAGACTTCTAGCTTCTCTTTCTCTCTCTTCAAACTGGTTGTAGGAATGGTAAAAAATTGACTGTATTCTCTGCCCCTCCACTCCATTAGTTCAAAACCCAGAAATATTGGCCATGGCATGGCTAAGGTTGGGTAATAAGAGGTTTAAAAGGGCTTCTTAAAAAAGGAGCACTATGATTAAAAGTCAGCTTAATTAAAGGTGAATACCCAAGCTGTGGGTATTTTCAAAAGGCCTTTATGTGTATTCGTGGATCTTGTTTTTCTGGTATATTTTTTCTCTCTTGATAGAATTATTTTTCTTAATTTGGTTTTGCCATTCTTAATGCACACGAGAGGCCCCAGCACAACTTCGGATGGCCTGGGACTCCTTGGGAAAAACAAAGGAGGCACCACTGACCCCATTTTGGGAAAAACCTCTGTTTTCCTCATGGAGCCCCAGGAATTAGGGGCAATAGATCCTTCTCAAAGTCTGTTTTTGCCTTCCAACTGTGCCTGCTTATTAGGCACTAAAAACTACATGTTTTCCTAGCCTGTTTCTTGAGAGGCTTCACTCTGAGGCCAGTAATCTAATTAAGAGATTGACAAATGAAAAATCTTACACCTTACTGGATCTACTTCTGTCTGTCTGTGTAGTTATATATGTGTTGTGTGTCTGATGTTTACATAAAAGAGACCTCTGACTGGCTTAAATAAAAGTAAGCATTTAGATCAAGTAGTTTTAAAGGAAAACAAAGCTGTAATGCCTTTTAGTTTACATGACTAATCTTTGAGAAATAAAAACAACTTCAAAGATTATTGGTAAAATAAAAATGTCTTCAAAATGTAGACGTGGTCTAAATTAAACAGGCCAAACACTAGGTTTGTTAAATGCTGTAAAGTCATAAACTCCTCCTTTGGCTTTTGAAAATTATTGGACATGCCTGCTTCACAGTTTGGCAAGGCCTTAAGACATGCGGAATTAACCACGCCCTTAGCTATGCTAGGGAGAATCGGACCTTACCTGCACCTAGTAACTAAAGTAACCAAGTTTTACACCCAAATTAAAAATTGCTAACAGTTACCATTATAACAGGTAATCGAGATGGGTGAAAAATAGTTTTACATGCAAGGTGTGTAAGGAAAGTAAAATGTGTCTTTAGTAAAAGATTATGAGAAATTAGGTAAGATAAAACCAAAGGTTTAAACAAGTAGTGGAAGGTTTGCAGGAAAAATACTGTCTGTGAACATACTGACTTAATTCAAAAAAGTGTTATTTGGTTTTTCATAAATTGAACATTGGAATAAAAGTACAACAAGGGTTTCTTAAGTCACTTATCTCCTATTTAATAATATTAAATGTTTTAAACCTTTAGCAGATTTGATAGGCTTCCTAAAATCAAATTTCAGTTTCAAAATTATCTTTTCTGACCCCTAACTTTGGGATGCTACAGAGGGCCTTGGAGCATTCCAAAGAGAGGTAAACAGGATTATTTGACATGTTTAGTTACATGGGATTGTCAAAATAAAAAAGGTTCGATCTTCTTCAGGCTATATTTTAGAGAATAATATTTATGTATGTTCCAAAATTGTATGGGACTTCTAAAAATCAAATGTTTGAGTATATGCTATCAATCATAATTAGGGTTATTATGTTAAGTTATTGTAAACCACAGAAAATAACCGAATTTCTTTGTCAGTTGTGTTTTTGAATGTCACTAGCCCAAGACATTTTGTCATTCACAGACAATGGTTGTCTTGTTTTGATCCTCTTCAAAACATAGTTTATAATCAGCTATAGAATTTTGACAGGTGCGCATTAGTTGTTTTAAAGTTTTGGTTTGCACTTTAACTTTCTTATTCCTGTGAACCAACCAGTGATTTCTGACTGCAGCTCAGAAGAGACAAAAGGATGGGTAATGTAAAAACCTGAATCAATATTCTGATTCTGGGTATGATGGCAGCCTCAGGATTTTTGAGCTGTCCTTACTCCCTTTTTTCATTTTGATCTATCTATGTCTTCTAATAACCTGGTTTGTCTCCAAATGATCTTGCAAATAGAGCCTCACAGGATGGCTCCCTTTTACTGTAGACCCGTAGATAGGCCTCTGAGGGAAGATCTGACTGATATTTCTCCCCAAAACAGTGTTCCCTGTCGGCGTAAAGCAGTTAAAAACAGTCATCATCCCTATCCTAACGGCAGTTAGATGTACCTCTTCAGAGAGGGCATTAATGGCAGCAGCGGCCCATCTGGAGTGGCTGTTGCCATGATGATGACAGCTGCAGTGGGGGAGGCATGGCTGGGGCTGCACACTCCATGGAGCCAACAGGAGCTGGGAACAAGCAGAAGCCCTGCCCCTTTCTCAGTTTGAGGGCAGAGCACTGCCCTTCAGGGCACAACTAGATCCAGGCATCTCTGCACTCTTGGGAGCCCGGGAAGCCCCCTGTCACCACAGGCTCAGATATGCCTGCTCCTGCTACCTGGCCTCTCCCAATTCCTGTTGCCCACTCTGATTTTGGAATAAAGTGGCTGAGCCCGGGTGCAACATGACTTGGCCGGGTGTGCACACTCAGGGCAGTGCTAACTTGCCAGTCCCTGGACACATTGGCCCCTCCAGACATTGGGTGCTGATGGGCATGAGTGGGAGGTTGAGGTAGGGACTGAGGGCAGCTTGGCATGGACCTGCAGGCACCCCTCAGGACAAACAGCCTGGATGCCATGGGTACTGTGGATGTCAGGTTAATGGCAGCAGGAGACAGACAGGCTCCTGGGCAAAAAGGGGCAGGTCCCCA